GGTTTCTCCCTACTTCTGTGCATGCTGGTGAAGGCACTGTCAACTGGCTGCAAACCGGCATCAACCATTTCACATCTTTTCTTCAATAAACGTTCTGACGACAAGAAGACCCCGCTGACTGTGCAATACAGAGGGAAGAGTCAGCCTTCATTTTGTGGTCAGGTGCCTGGAGCAGGGCTTAAACCCACAACTTTCTTACTCAGAGACAGTCAAGGAAGCTGTGATCAATACTGTGGCTCTGCACCAGCAAGATCAAGTCTTCGGGACCGCGACGATTCCAACAGATAAAATCAGTGTGCTCGAAGAATAAAAGGGCAGAAGAGGACTGAGGTGGGTTGAATTTGAGAATCACAAAATTGTTACAGAGCAGGAGGAGACCATTTGGATCACTGTGACTGTGCCAGCTCCTTGAAAGAGCAATTTCTTAGTGGCAAGGTGTGGAGCTGGATGAACACAACAGGCCAGGTTGCATCAGAGGAGCAGGAAAGCTGACGTTTTGGGTCTGTACCCTTCTTCAGAAATGGGGGAGGGGAAGGGGGCTCTGAAATAAATGGAGAAAGGGGGAGGCGATGATAGAAAGTGGATAGTGGAGCAGATAGGTGGAGAGAAGACGGACAGGTCAAGGAGGCGGGGATGAGGCCAGTAGAGGTGAGGTGAGTGTAGGTAGGAAGTGAGGGTGGGGGTTGGTCACTATCCATCTTCTATCATCGCTTCCCCTTCTCTCCATTTATTTCAGAGACCCCTTCGCCTCCCCCATTTCTGAAGAAGGGTCCAGACCCGAAAGGTCAGCTTTCCTGCTCCTCTGATGCTGCCTGGCCTGCTGTGTTCATCCAGCTCCACACCTTGTTATCTCAGACTCCAGCATCGGCAGTTCCTACTATTTCTTAGTGGCATTTTCCTGCCTTCTCCCCATAAACCTGGCCATTGATCCTTTACAAATAACCATCTGATTCCTTTTTGAATGCCTCAATCACACTCTCATACAGCACATTCTAGGCCCAACCATTGTCTGTGCAATAAGGTTTCGCTCACACCACTTTAGCCGATTTACTTAAAACCTGTGCCCTCTCATTCACCATCCTTTTAGGGGTGGAATCTTTTCTTTGGTCCCTTTAAGGTGAGAGGGGAAAGATTTAAAAGGAACTTAAGGGGTGAGTTTTTCACACAGAGGGTGGTATGTATATGGAATGAGATGTCAGAGGAAGCAGTGGAGGCTGGTACAATTCTAACATTTAAAAGGCATCTGAATAGGAAAGGTTTAAGAGAGATATGGGTGAAATGCTGGCAAATGGGACTAAATTAATTTAGGGTATCTGGTCAACGTGGACAAGTTGGACTGAAGGGTCTGTTTCTGTGCTGTACACCTCTATGACAAAATTGCTATTGGAAAACATTTGCTCACAAATCTGTTATATGCCACTGTATTGGCGGCCTTCTGGAGGTCCACACGTCCACATCAACAACAATGCCCTAATCAAACCTGTTATCTGCTAGAAAAAGTTCCAGTTAATTAGTTAAACATGATTTTATCTGAAGAAATCCATGCTGGCAGTCATTTGGTAGTACAGCTCTAGTATTGCTGAAAAGAAACACAGTATGTTGGAGCGTTTTCTCTTGCACTCATCAGGATCATCAGTAAGGCTCAGTGTGTGCTACTTTTGCATGTCCTAGAAGTCATATGTGTTAATACCCAGGGGTCTGCTTTTAGAAGTCCAAACAAAAAACATGTACCCGCACTGCACCCTGTTTCAACTCCAACAAAATAGGTGACTGTATTGCTCTGGTTCATTTCTCAGGGGCTACCCTGACCAATCATTCAACTGTCTGGTTTAATCTTAAGCAAAGCTTGGCAATTAATTGTCAATCATCATGAATCTCCTGCATTCTCCATGGCAACACCTCTACCAGAGTCTACTTTGCAACCAACCAAACCGCACCCCCACCGCGTCTTACAGTTCAAATGTTGTTTGCCCTCATAGAATCCCTAGTCTGCAAACAGGCCCTTCGAACCATTGAGTCCACACCATCCCTCCGAAGATTATGCTATCCAATCTCTGTAACCCTGTATTTCCCATGGCTAATCCACCTAGTCTGCACATTCCTGGATAATATGAGCAATTTGGCACGGCCATTCAACCTAACCTGCACACCTTTGGATCTCTACATAGGTATTCTTGCAAATTGCTGACGGCAAGACAAAAAGCTTTAACAAAATGTCTGGGTACAGCAACACTCATAACCATGTCGGTGCGACTTAATCAACCTACAGTCACCCATGTGACTGCTAACGTTGTCCTGAGCTTTCACTACTAGAGGGTTCCCAACTAAGTGTTAAATGGACTAGTCTGTAATTGCTTAGCCTACCCTCACATCCTTTTTTCAGCAAGGGCATTACATTTGTAATTTTCTATTCAATGAGAGTCTAAGGAAGACTAGAAAAATATTGCCAATGCCTATGCATTTCCCATTGTCACTTCCCTTTGTAACCTTGGATGCACCTCCTTTGGTCCTGCTGGCTTTTCAACTATTAAGGATAATCTATCCATAACAGTTTTAAATCTGCCTACAAAATTTCCCTTTTTTTTGTAATAATAACATCTCTTTGGTAAAAGCAGGTGCAAAGTACACATTTAATACTTCAATCACATCCTTGATTTTCAGTCTTTAATTGGCTCCTCTCTGTCTTTCACCACCCTTTTACTATGCCTATAGAATGTTTTGAAATTCCATCAGTCTTAAATTTAATTTCTCACTTCCCCTCTGAATCTTCTATGTTCAGCCTGGCTGTCAACTGTACTCTTTTAACTTGACATGTCAATAAATGCATCTTTTCTTCTTTATCATTTCTACCTCTCGTCACCTGTGGATTTGGTCAAAAATCACACGACACCAGGTTATAGTCCAACAGGTTTATTTGAAGACACAAGCTTTCTGAGTCTCACTCTTTCTTCAGATATCAGTGAGAGAGGTGGCATCAGACACAGAATTTATAAGCAAAAGATCAAAGGGTCATAGAACTGATGCAGTGTTGAACAAACCTAAGGTGCTGAAGGACACCCTCATAAAAACAGGATACAATGCTCAACTCATCGATCATCAGTTTCAATGTGCCACAGCGAAAAACCGTAATGACCTCGGAAGATAGACATGATACAACTGATAGGGTACCCTTTGTCGTCCAGTACTTCCCAGGTGTGGAGAAACTACACCATATTCTTCACAGCCTTCAATTCATCATCGATGACAATGAGGACTTCACCAAGATCTTCCTTATGCCTCACTTCTCGCCTTCAAACAACCGCCAAACCTTAAATAGACCACTGTTCACAGCAAACTACCCAGCCTTCAGGACAATGTTGACCACAACACCATAGAACCCTGTCATGGCAACCTCTGCAAGACGTCAGATCATTGACATGGATTCTACCATCACACAAGGGAACACCACACACCACGTGCACGGCTGATACTTAGTTGACTTGGCCAACATTGTCTACCTTATACACTGCTGCAGGCAAGGATGCCCCGAGGCATAGTATATTGGCAAAACCACGCAGACATTACAACAATGTATGAATGGACACCGCGCAACAATCACCAGACACCGATGTTCCATCCTAGTGGGGGAACACTTCAGCCATCAAGGACATTTGGCCTCGGATCTTCGGGTAAACATCCTCCAAGGCAGACTTCAAGATACATAACAATGCAGAATTGCCGAGCAGAGGCTGATGGTCAAGTTCGGTACCCATGATGGCCTCAACCAGGATCATGTCACACTACAGGTGACCCCAGTACACTATACGCTCTCTCACACACACACACACTCTCCCCCCAACATGTAAAAAATCTATGGGGTGAATTTGCACATTTTTAATTGCAGATACATTCTATTTTATTCAAAAAGCACACAATTTGTAGACATTCAATGCAGCATTTTATAAATTCCTACTTTGGAAATAAAACCAGTCTGATTCCAAGTCAATACACAGCCAGATTCTAAACATGACCTTCACACCTAAAATGCACTGTCTGACCTGGGATGTCACCTCTGGTATACGGAGGGAACTGATAAAACCTTTACTTTTCTCAGGGCAGTGACTTGAAAGAAATTTGCATATTAATCCTTTCTAACTGATTTAAGATTTAATAGCCATCTTAGGTTTGTTCAACACGGTATCAGTTCTATGACCCTTTTGTCTTTTGCTTATAAATTGTATCTGATGCCACCTCTCTCACTGACACCTAAAGGAAACTCCGAAAGCTTGTGTCTTCAAATAAACCTGTTGGATAATAACATGGTGTTTTGTGATTTTTGATCTTGTCCGCCCCAGTCGAACACTGGCACCTCCACATCTGTGGATTTGTTGTTTGCTCTGCTTTTCCCTTTCAAGGTAATGTCCCTTGACTAGGAACAAATCTCTACTTGGAAGGTAGCCTACTGTTCAGCTACCATCTCTCTTGCCCACCCTCGACTCCAATCATCCTAATATTTGCTTTCTTTCGATTAGTCATTCTTACTCTGGCTTATTCATGATCCTTTTCCATTATCACCTTAAGTCTTGCAATACAGCAACCACTATCCCCCAAATATTCTCTCACTAAAAATCTATTTGGCCCGTATCACTCCCAACAATGAAATCTAAGGGTGCTACATCTTGCTGGACACATAGCAAGTTCTCTTGAACGTGCTCCAGGAACTATTCCTCTGTCCCAACACTACTACAATCACCCATATTTGAAGTACCTTCATTATAACTACTCATAACGAATTGCCTTGCAGAATTGTTCCTCTGCATCCTTCTGACAACTTGGTGGCTTATAGATTACACCAAGCAATATAACTGCATTGACTTTGTTCTTAACCCTTCTGGGATATCCCCTTTCCAGCAGTGCAATGCTCTCTTTTAATCAATACCAAGTCGCCTAGTCCTCTGAGGGTGGAGGTGGATGACAAAACCGCTTGAAGTACGAGAACATCAAGTCAAGACAGACACAAAGATATTTCAGACTAATTTTATTGAATTTCACTACATGTTACGATACAAACACCCCTCCCCACCCCCTGTCCAACTCTAATTTCAGACACTGGTTCTCTAGCGTAGGCAATTATGACAAACTAAATCATTATCATAGTTAAAAGAAAATTAAACAAACCTCATTTTAAATTGTGTAACATCAGACATGTAAACTCACCTCCCCCCAATTCTTCTACTTTTCCATCCACTCCCTACCCAACAGCCCACAGAAGATCCTATCTTGCTGTTTCTCTTTCACCACCCACCCTCACCCAAGATGCCAGATCACACTGGTTATGTTCATGCAAGTGGCAGTTCCCCATTGGCATTGCCCAGGAGGGTCATCCATAATACCTAGGTAAATTTAATATTCAACTATAGGTGATATCATGATGGAACCATGTCCTTAATGCCCCCAAAAAAAACCCATACCCGTTTCAAGGAGTCTTCAGCTAGCCCTTAGACATGAACTCTGCAGGACTTTGACGCTGCCCAGGAGGAAATTCAATCAATCATCATCCCATGTTGGCAGTGTTGCCATGGCAATCATTTGAAACATACAGTCCCAGTCACAGACACACATACGCACACACACTCTTCCAATCTCAATCTGCCCGGAAACATACATTCTACCCTCGTGCAGCAAGTCCAAAAAGCTAAACACTGGAAAATACCAAAATGCCTGCCAGTCTCCCCACCCTGGCTTCCTCTTCATTCAAGTCCGATGGCACCAATGACAGCACGTCATTGCTTTTGGTGGTGAAATTTAGCAGTGAGAACATTTTTTTTTTGAGGGTTGGGGAAGGGGTGCGGGAAGAGCCGTTTTCTCAGCAAAATTGGACCATTACCTGTAAAGCCAGCCGGTGAATTACGGGTCACGCACTCTGCCACGCTGCCCGTGAGCGGACTCGAGGCTGCAGAAGGATAAAGGACTAAAATGAAAGAAAGCACAACCACGCAGGAGACGGCCTGTCTGCTCCTGTGCATCCCTTGGCAGCATGAATCCGAGCAGCGTTGGCAAGGTGCAGGAATGCAGCATCCGTCTGAGACAAAGTGCCTGAAACGCAGCTTTGAAGTGTGTGGTTGATGATTCACAGTGGCGGTACAGTTAATTAAGTGTGAAGATTATTTAAAGTGGGGGGGAGCCCATTCAGCTTCACAGGTCCTACAGCCACTGTGATTTACACCTTGAGGGCTGAAATAAGGAAGAGTGGCAGGTGCCTTGATACACACCACCCCTCAAGCTCTGTTTTTGTACGATCCATGAGTTGGACACCAGGCCCTACCCAGAGCAGCTCCCCACGAGAGAAGCAGCCTGCTGTCAAATCACAAGTGGTACTTGGATATCGTGGAACTGAATACCACAGCCATTGGTCCCTTAAGGAAGGGAAAACAGCAGAACAGGCTCCCCACTTCTTTAAAAGGCAGTATTGGACTGGAAGAACGTTAAGGGAATGTGGCCATCACCGCGGGGAGGGGACAAGAGCACCTGTGTTCGGTGTGGATAGGACCTGTACAAAGGGAGGTTTGTTGTTTCTTTTTGGTGTCTAGGGAAAGGAGGGGAAAATGGTGACGGGTTGGCTGGAAGAAAACCAAAATAAAATTGATGAGTAACATCCAATCACAATCAGTGAGAAAGAGAGCGTTAAAGTGTGTTTACAGAACCTATGGATCACAAGGCAGGGCTCAGCGAATGTATCTTTTTGTTTTGGAGAAAAAGAGATATAAATTTTGTTTTAAATGCCACGGTGCTGTCGTGCTGCGATCACGGGGTCGTGTATTCGTCTCGAGAGAGCAAACTTCTGTTCGGAGAGCGGCGGCAGCGGAGGAGGAAGAGAAGGAAGGAGGATATCGTCGGTTCATTGGGCATAGCGGGTGTCGGTAGTATTATCGTAGTCAAACTGATCATACCTATGAGAAAAAGCACATTATGTCAATACAGGGCTGGCCGGAAAGGAAAAGTTGCTCATGCATTCACCGAGGTGGGGGCAGGGCGTTTTCCAAGCTGCTAGGGCTCCAAATGAAGGGGGTCAGGGATAGGGTTTTTAATTCTCTCATGGGACATGTGAGGGTGAAGCAGGACAGGGCTTTCATGCATGAGTTTTAAAATGTGCGTTCCTGCCGCAAAGAAAGGATCAATCTTTCTCTCAGAGAAAGCAGAATAGGACATCTTGCCATCTTTCTGCTCACCATGCTCTGTGGGCTCAGACACCCAAAACAGGGAGCTTGCTGCATGTTACCCAGCTACCACGTTTTGCCAAGCTTTAAGCAATCACAGCCCAAAAGTATCTCACTGACTGTGATGTGCTGCAACACCTCCTAAGCTGTTGAATTCAAGACTGCGAGCAATGATCAATTACTTGGATTTATGAATTACACCAAACAGATGGCATTATTACTGCGGAGTACTATCAGAATGTTTTGCAGTCTCACAGGCTCTAAAAGAACTGTGTGATTGTATAACTGGAGAAGATGGGAGGGAGGAAGGGTCAAAACATTTGATGCATTGAGCCTATTTGAATGCAGAAGAGATAATTGGGTGGCAGAGATAAGTAACCACTGGGTCAGTGAAATCGTCTCAGGAACAGGTTTGGGTACAAATTACCTGCCTACTCCCAAATCTGTGAAATAGCACTTGCCTTGGGGAGATTTCAAGGCAAAAAAAAAAAGAGGAATGCCGAGAGAACGCAACCCAGAATTGTATTTGTGGCAGGTGTGAGGGCAAAGAGAGGATTCTCAAAGCAAAGAGTTTTGCAGCTGTCTGACTGGTTTGCGTGCTGGAGAGCACGAAGCTGTAAGGGTCAAGTGCAGTAACGAGAGGCTCTTGACACAAAAGAACCCGCACATCCCCCCACAATAAAAAAAAAAGACGGGCAGAAAGTCAACTTTTTATTGGTATATCTAAATACTGGATCCATAAACTTCACACTCTACCCCAGGAGGTGCCTCAATACTGCACCAAGTATAAAGACAGGCTCATTGACATTACACCCCTTCTCCCTCCAAAGCCCAAATGGAAGTCATAACTGTTCATAATATCAATTACCAGTGTCTCAGCAACAAATACTGTACTTTCCTTAAAAAGGTGGTGAGAAAGGCATATACCCACAGGGACCTCATGCCCCCCCCCCCCCCCCCCACCCCCCACACACCCCCCCACGCACCCCCCCCCGCACCCACCCCCCCCCCACGATCCTGAGCCTGT